ATCACAGGAATAAATTAGATTTTAATGTATATTAAAATAGAAAAACGTTATTTTACATCATAATAATATTTCACAATATTACATTTTTCCTGTATTTTTGATCAAATAAATGCAGCCTTGATGAGCAGAAGAAACTCCTGTAAAAAACATTACAAATCGTTCTGATCCCAAACTTTTGACCGGTAGTGTATATATATTATGACAGGGCCAAGTCTGTTTGGGTTGTAAAAATACTTAAAAAAAAAAACTGAATGAAATGTATGAATATATTATGATAATTGTAAAAAAAAAAAAAAATTGACCTATTACTATTTTTATATTTTTTAATCATTTGAAAATAATGATTAAGATATGTACATGTATTTAAGGTATGTATTTAAGAAAAACACCGCACGATGATTACGCCACATGATTATTTAATAGTCATTATATTTAAACATTTGATGAAAATCGTAGAATTTTTACCCAAACTAACATGAATGCAAACAGTACATTTCAAGGACATTTGCACATTTTTCAATTTGTCTCAGACACCTTATTTTACGATTATGCCAAATAATTTGCAGATGAAATATCTCAGTGTTTCATTCTTCCTGAAAATGTCACTGAATGTGCTGTACCTCACTCTGAAGCAGCATGTTCTCATGCTCCAGTGCTAGTCCTGATGCAAGAGGGCTCTTCAGGGAGCTCAACACTTCCTCCAGCAATGACCCCTGCTCCTCAGGAACGACCTCACATCCTGTGTCCAACAGGAAGTCATCGGCCTGCAGCTCAAGTGTTACTGGACTCTCCCAAGAGGATTCTGGGACCTCAGACTTGGGGACGTGATCCTCGTCAGGAACATGTTCGTCTCCTTCAGAGATGTCTCCAGCTGAGATGGAGGATGTTGGAGAAGTTCTTTGACACTGGCTGGAGTCGCTCACTTCCTCTTCCTCCTGTTCAGAAGCAAATGACTCACGGTCTGAATCATTCACATGTTCTCCGGGCAAATCTAGACCAAATTGAACAATAGAAAAATAATTATTGAACTAGTAACAACAATTATTGAATTACCATTCAAAAGTTTGGGGTCAGTAAGATTTTTGAAATGATGTAATGAAATAGTACAATATAAAATAACTGTTTTCTATGTATATATTAATATATTTTAAAATGTAATTTATTCCTGTGATCAAAGCTGAATTTTCTGCATCATTACTGCAGTCTTCAGTGTCACATGATGTTTCAGAAATCATTCTAATATGCTGATTTGCTGCTCAAGAAACATTTATTATTACTATCAATGTTGAAAACAGTTGTGCTGCTTAATATTTTTGTGGAAATTGTGAAATATTTTTCAGGAGTCTTTGATGAACAGAAAGTTCAAAAGCATTGCATTTATTTGAAGTCAAGTTTGATCCTTTTAATGCATCTTTACAGAATAAAAGTATTACTGACATTACTGATTACAAATTGCATGATGGAAATTGTAGTTATTAACATAATCTATTGGATTACACACACAAGGTGATGTATTCTGACTACTTTTTTACCTAACTGATAATCAAATATATTTCATGCTTTATCAAATTATGAATAATTTACTTTACTGTCATTGTGAAAATGTAAACATGTAATCTATAAAAATGTAACTGTAATCTGATTATATTTTGAAATATGGCAAGTACTTTAATTTTTTAATCCAGATTACATGTAACCAGTTAATTATTACATGTAACCAGTAAATTATTATTATTAAATAAATATGACAATATCACTGGATGCTGGATCAGCCAAAATATATACTTCCGTAGAGGAAACAAAATACTGAATTGCAAGATGTAACCTTAGAATTCGGAGAAAAAAATTATAAATTCTAAGTTTATATCTGGCAATTCTGACGTTTTTCTTGCAGTGTTAAGTTTGTCTCACAATCCTGATTTTTGTTTGATGCATCAGACGTTTAGCCAACGGTCCGTGGGCGTGACGTCTGAGGATGAGACTATTATAAAGCTCTGTTATAACATAATAAATGTATGCACAATGAATCTTTCACAATGTCTACACTTCGTGTGTTAAAATGAGAGGATTCGTGAGCACGCAATTTCAGCACTGCGGTGAGTAGATTCTTAATCACCTTTGATTGGCCATTGCATTCCAGAAATCAACAGCTGAGTCTGTGATTGGCTACATTGCGCAACCCTTTAAACACGTTATAAATAGAAACTATGCCTAGCTTGCTTATGTCAATCATTTTAATGTAAATATTAGTTGTTCTTTTTGCTTTTGAGCAACAGATAAATAACAATTTATGTTTTAGACACTTTATGTTTAGATCATTTTATTCTCCCGCATCCCGCACACACATGAGTCTTTTCCCGCCCGCACCCGCACTCGCCCATCAAGAGTTGTCCCGCGCCACACCCTGTTGCGTTGGGTCCCGCGGTACTCCCGTGGGAGTGCAGGTCTCTAGGTCAGAGAGCTCTCAGAATTCATCAAAAATATCATGTCTTACGGGTTTGGAACGACATGAGGGCGAGTAATTAATGACAGAATTTTCATTTTTGGGTGAACTAACCCTTTAACTTCAGATTAACGCATTTGAAACTGAAAAAACACACATTAACATGCTTTTAATGGTGCAGTATTGTCAGGAACCCGTGTGAATGAGTTCTAAGCGAGACAGCCGTGTGTTTGTGCTGTGCTCAGGTCCAGCTTGGCAGCCGTTTTGACCCAGATTTCTGGAATATCCCATTTCCAGCAGACAGCCAGGCTGCGAGGGTGAACCGCTGGAATGCTTTTCAGACCACACGCCTACTTCACTCGTAACCCCTGCAGTCAAAGATAGCCAGCATTCAACAACACTGTCAAATTTCACTAGTCATTAACTAATATGGGTTTTAATGGCCGATGCTGATATCTAGACATCAGGGTGCCAATAAATACATCAACTTTAATACGGAAAATCCGAAAGTTGTATCCACTTAAAAAAAATAAATAAATCAACTTCATCCATTACTTGCTTCCTTTCTTGTTTCATCGTCCCTAAGCTGTTCATTCAATAGTACCATGCACTGCACTCATTACACTACTGTTTAAAAGTTTGTGCTCAGTATCATTTTTTAAAATTTGAAATTAATACTTTTATTAGAAAGGATGCATTCAATTGATCAAAGGTGATTAAAGACATTTATAATGTTAGATTTCTATTTCAAATAAATGTGGTTCGTTTTAACTTTATATTAGTTTTTTTCTACTTTTCGTCTTTGTATTACTTCATGGTTTTCACAAAAATTTTAACACTTTAAAACTGTTTTCAATATTGATAATAATGAATGTTTCTTGAGCAGCAAATCAGCATATTAGAATGATTTCTGAAGGATCATGTAACACTGAAGACTGGAATAAGTTACATTTTAATATACAGTTATTTTAAAAATTGCACTTTTAAATTGCAATACTATTTCACAATATTACTCCTTTTTCTGTATTTTTGATAAAATAAATGGAGACATGGTGAGGATAAGAGACTGCTTTAAAAAAAAAAAAACATTACAAATCTGAACCCAAACTTTTGAACATTAGTGTATAACAAAAATGAATCCCCATTTAAAATATCCAACAGTACTTTTCTCACCGAAACCCAATTTCTCAAAACATCCTCTGGTCCAGCTCAAAGCATTGCATAACACAAACACATGATAGCTATTTTACTGGCAACAAGACAAATCCAAAAGTGCATGTTATTCAGTGGTTTGAGATTGTTTTGGAGCAGTTTTGGATAGGCAATGGTGTCGTGCGTGAGATGCATGTGCACTGAGTCGTAGAAATGCCCTTTCAATGAACACTAGTTTCACTTTTATTTGAAATTCAAATGTAACTTTCTACTGGATACAAGCAGTGTCCTGCTCTCTAATGTCTGTGTTTCAAACTGCCTTTGACTGTGAAAGCACTTGTTCTGAACACAAGTCAGTATCTGTAAATACCGCTGATGACACAACACTTAACTGAGCAAGTTCAACTTGATCCAAACTAGCAGATAAAACAACAGTAGATAAGCACACTCTTAATATGAATCTCTCAGCGCTGGACTTCATGGGAACATTCCATACATGTTACTAGTCTGAATCCACACCCAGAGGTGCTCGATTCAAATGATCTGCAGTGGTCCAAAACAGAGGCATATTTAAATGTATGAATATTAAGTGATACCCACAACCAAATAATTCTGCACCATTTCTCAGAAAATCCAGCTACAGGTTATTCAAAAATATTTAAACTACAGTCAAGCTACTGATTAGAAAATTAGTTAGCTACAAGACAAGCTACAAACAAAAGTGTGTTTCTAATGCTGGATGTCTCCCTTATTTGACCCGTCCGTTTCGGAGTCTCTACTGTACAAACCAGCTGATGAGATGATTCAGGTGTGTTTGATTAGGAAAAGTCTGAAAATGTGTACCGTTGGTGTGCCTCCAGGAACAGGGTTGGGAACACTGCATTAGTGTGTTTAGCTGGATCAAGAATGCCTACAAACAATTTGCCTACATGTAGATGCAGCTGTAATTAATTTGCATTTAAATGCATGACATCACCATTCAAAGCATGCGATTGTGCTCACTCTTAAAGGGATAGTTCACCCAAAAATGAACATACTGTAGTTGAATTACTGAAATAAATGAACTTTTCCACGACATTCTAATTTATTGAGATGCACCTGTAAATGATGACAGAATTTTTATTTTTGGGTGTCGTCACTTATAAAAATTCTGGGAGCAAGTAAAGGCCTTAAGACATAATCATCAGGAATCAAAATTTCCTTCATCTTTTCATATAAAAAAGCTCTACTATGAAAACATACTTTCAAAACTCTCAACTTCCTTCCCAGTGAAAAAACTTCCCTCCCAGGGAATATTTATCGAAACCAGTCAGTCACAGTAAGCTAATAAGAAGCAAGTAGGATAGATATTTTTATTTCAAAACACCCATACAACTAATGATAAGAGTAAAACGTGTCAAAGGCTGTCAAACCTAGTGCTGTTTCTGTTTGTGTGTAGCACCTACAGCTCTGCAGATCCTTCTGAAGCATCTCAACATTAGACACAAACGACTGAAGTTTATTTTTAACAAGGTTTCTGATCATTTCAGTCTGATTTTAAAAGTTTGCGTGACACATTCACGTTTCATTGACTCAAAGCTATATCTGTGCTATAGAAATCCAAGAGTCTATACTGATGCAAGTAATAAGTGAGGAGAGGCGTACTGTGTGAGGAGGTGTGGCCAGCACAGTGCTGCAGGGAAGACCATCATCTTCAGAAAGAGCCCCTGCGTCCTCTCCTTTCCTCCCGCACAGGAGTGATGGCGGAGAGCCCAGACGAATCGCCTGCTTCAGCTGCAGCTACAGACAGGACAGAAAGGTGAACTATCGATAACTGTTCAAACGGATTAATCACTCACTATTACTACCTACTATATTGTACATTAATGTGTTGACATGAGACACTCCCGTTTACAAGTTTGAGCTCAGTATGATATTTTTTTTATCATACTTTTGCTAGGATGCATTAAATTGTAAAAAAAAATACAGTAAAGTTAAAGTTACAAAAGATTTCTATTTCAAATAAATGTTCTTTTGAATTTTCAATTCATCAAAGAATCCTGTAAAAAAAAAAAAAAAAGTTAATGGTTTCCATAAAACTATTCATATTTAGAAATCAAAAGAAAATGGAAGACAATTAGATATAATACAAAATGTCTGTATCCAGTAGTAAATCTTGAGCAGCAAATCAGCATATTAGAATGATTTCTGAAGGATCATGTGACACTGAAGACTGGAGTAATGATGCAGAAAATTTAGCTTGCATTTTAAAATATATTACGATACAAATCAGTTATTTTAAATTGTAATAATATTGCACAGTATTGATATTTTTTACTGTATTTTTGATCAAATAAATGCAGCCTTGGTGAGCATAAGATACTTTTTTCAAAAACATATATAAAAAAAGAAATTTTATGATAGTGTAAGATAACAGAATTTTCATTTTTGAGTTAAATATCCTTTATAAAAAAAGGAAAATATCCAGTCCATGCTTTTTAGATACCTCTGAGAAATTAATTCTGCTTTGTGTCAGCTATTTTTAGATGATCTGCTTCTTTCAAACAGTGGCTGATTCCTCTCTTAATGGACTGGTAACTTTCATTGCTGAGCTGCTCTCATGTCTGGCTCAGTGACAAATATCTACGGGTAATATGCTAACCGCATCAAGCTACACTAAGTAGCCCTTAATCAAAGCAAAGACATAAGTGAGACAAACATATTGTGGGCATCCACTGGCGACTTTAAATACTGATACTCACATAAATACATTTAAGGTTTATAAACTTACTGAACATCACATTACACATTTGTTTAAGGTCATTGTTTTAGTTCACCTTTGTTTTGTTTTATTCTGTCTATCAGTGACATTGACAATGATCCCTGCTGTCTAGATTGTGCTGGTGGCAAAACATCAAGAGTGAAAATCTCAGGCTCTGTGTCTTGAGGCTTAGACCTGCTAATTTTATACCAAAGTCCAGTGCCTTCACTAATACTCATTAAAGAAAGAGGACAGGAAAGAAAACAGATACTTATACACTCCATCTGAGCACACGGATGCCACTTTCCATAAAAATGGCACAAAACAGAGCCAGAAAGACTTATTTTTTACACAGCCAAGTTAACTTTGCTGTTAAATTGTTTATTTATTTATTTTTTAACAGTGTGGGGTTTTGGAATTTGGGGCATTTAGAATAACTTTGAATAAAAAGTTTTTAAAAAGTTAGAACAGGACAATATCAAAATCCGTTTGATGATATTAAATATCACAAATTTGAACGTCTGACAACTGAATCATGATAATAATAAAAAATGGGCATAAAACACAATTAATATATGAATAAATCATAACAGACTGGAATACCTGCAGAGATTTCACTTTCCCATGAATGCTGTCTTGGGATGCCCCCAGACCCTCATGAGTCTCTGATGAGGGCGAATCAGACACGAAGACACTATCATGTGACATGGCTTTGTTTCCCATGTTGATCTTGGATCTTTGAATGAAGCAGAGAAAAGTTTATATGTGTCATAAATAATTGGTAAAATGTAATATTGCATAGCATGTGAGAAAATGGGAAAAAGATGAGTATATTAATACAAATTAATCGCACATCACATTTGGCTGAGAAATTACTCCCAAAAGATAATTTAAAGTCATTGTTGTGTAAAGCATCAAACGGACATTATAAAAAGTAGCTTCAGCAAGAAATATTTTGTTTGATTCAACATAAAATATATTATTTATTAAAATGTATTACTCTTTTTGACCATGAGGATGAGTAAATGATTACAAAATTTAAATTTTTGGGTGGGTAAACTATACCTTTAATAATTTGTATTATTATTATTATTACTATACTGTAGAAATATGAAATTATTTCTTTGATGAAATGATACTCTAAATAAGAAACTAAAACTACCAGTAGGTGGTGGTAAATGTCTTAATGATCATCAAGTCATTCATTTGATTCGTTCAAACGGCTGATTCATTCAGGAGTGTAGTAATGGTTCTCTTTATGAATGGTCCAGTCATTCATTTGATTCGTTCAAACGGCGGATTCATTCAGGAGTGTAGTAATGGTTCTCTTTATGAATGGTCCAGTCATTCATTTGATTCGTTCAAACGGCGGATTCATTCAGGAGTGTAGTAATGGTTCTCTTTATGAATGGTCCAGTCATTCATTTGATTCGTTCAAACGGCTGATTCATTCAGGAGTATAGTAATGGTTCTCTTTATGAATGGTCCAGTCATTCATTTGATTCGTTCAAACGGCGGATTCATTCAGGAGTGTAGTAATGGTTCTCTTTATGAATGGTCCATTGAATCATTAGGCTTGTTCGACTTGAAGTGGATCATCACCATCAGACCGATCGGTGTGTGACATCAAAGTACCGTGAGAGCGATTAGAGACTCTGCATGCTTTTGAATCGCTCTTGCGGTACTTTGATGTCATAAACCGGTCTGCAGCACCACTTCAAATCCAACGCGCCTAATGCTTCACCCAGTTCGTTCAAAACGTGCATTAAGAAATTAAATGCCGCTGTGTGTTGCTCAGAGACGAACAGTTCTGCTTTTTCTTTATATTTTCGTTGGCAAAATTGAGCAAAACAGACAACTTTGTGTCTAAAATAACACACTATTCACTTCTTATTTATTGAACTGTTGTATAAAATCAGTATCACATTTGCACTCGTGTGATATTGCACTTATTGCTCGTGTGATATTGCT